CTCCCACTGCAGGAGCATCACTATCGATACGGCGCTAGCCCCCAAATTTTCTTCGCCTGCGGCGGGCGCCTTCTAATCCGGATCGATCCTCCTCATGCCTCAGCAATCGCCGCCTCAGCATCCTCCTCTTCCGATTCTCGTTGCTCTTCTTGAGCGCAATCTCTAGCCAAACATTTCTCACATAAATAGCCTCAAGCTCAAACAAACGCATGTCAGAGAAGCCTGTGTATGCTGGTCCTCTTTGAACGATCCGCGCGTGAGGTAGATCTAGCATAGGGCCTTGTTGGCAGCAGCCAGCTTGTTGCGCTGCTTCGCGTTGCGATGAGCTGATTGGGATCGCACAAGTGCATGCCAAGCACCGCCACGATCTTGAAGCAGAACACATCGCAACCGCATCGTCCGCACTGCCATCGGCATGCCGCGCCCGCCGCTTCGCCGCAGCCGCCTTAAGGCACGCATAGCGGCAGCACATGGTACGGTGCGCGTACTTGAGCAGGAGTTGCGCGCCGCAAGTAGCGCACTGGCCCTGGGACAAGGCGATATGGCGTCGTGCGCGGCATACGTTGGTCGGGACGCGTCCAGGTATTTTTCGGGTACAGGAACTGTAAACCTGGACTTTTGCAGGTATACCCGGGTTTTACCCGGATTTGGCCTTGTGCCGTCTAAGTTCATGGCCCCCGACCATACAGCGTCTAAGTCCGAGCCCGGCTCCGTGCGGGGGCTAAGTTGAGCGCTTGCTCGCTGCAGAGGCTAAGTGTAGAGCGACCCTCTAGCCCTACTACCCAACCATTGTGTCGGACACTTGTACCTCGTCCTGACGTAAGCGTGATGCCAAAAGTGCGAGATTTCCTGCTCCTGTGGTGCGGGCGACGACTTCTGAGGAAGCCGTCGCCCGCGCCTCGCCTGTCGCGTGAATCGTGTCGTGCGACCAAATTGTTGTAAAATTCTTTCTCAAGGCACAAAATTCCTTCTGTGAGGAGGACGGCATCTGTGTGGGCGACGGCTTCTAAGCCGTCGCCTTTGCAGTGCCAGTCCCGTACCCGGTAGGTAGGTAGGTAGAAAGGCGAAGCCCGGTTTCTTGCGAGGGATGGTCGTAAAATTCTTTTTCCTTCACGGCACTCAGCCACCACCAATGCTCGCGCTCGCGCTGGCGCTCGCGTCCTCGGCCTTCTCGCTGCGCCTACCGTCGCAGCCTCCCGCCGCCGCCGCGCACGTCGCGCTGCGCCGCGCCCTCGCGCCGCCTCGTACGGCGGTGGCGGCGGCGGCGGCAACCTCCACTCCATTCGAGTTTGACGAACTGGGCGACAGCTGGAGCGCGAGCGGGGGCTCGTCGGTGGGTGTGCTGCTCCTCTCTGTCGGCTCGCCCGAGACGCCCGACGACGTCGAGGAGTACCTCTACAACGTGTTTTGCGACCCCGAGATTGTGACGCTGCCGCCGCTGCTCTCGTGGCTCAAAAAGCCGCTCGCGTGGTTCGTCGCAAAGTCGCGCGCGGCCGAGGCGCGCGCAGCGATGGCGGAGGTGGGGGGCGAGTCGCCGCAGGTGGCCGCCGCCGCCGGCGGCCGCCGCCGCCGTCCCCTTCACAGCGGCACGTCATGCGGGAGTAGGTTGCGACGGTGCGGCGGCAGGCAGAGGCGCTGCAACGCACGCTGGTGGCGCGCGGCGTGGACGCGTCGCTCTTCATCGCGATGCGCTACTGGCGGCCCTACGCTGAGGAGGCCGTCGCTCAGATGAAGGCGCAGAACGTGACGCGGCTGGTGATACTGCCGCTGTACCCGCACTTTTCCATCTCCACGTCGGGGTCGGCGCTGCGCGTGCTGGAGCGGATGCTGTACAACACGCCCGGCTTCCCCACAAAGTCGACCGTCGTCCCCTCCTGGTTCAACCGGAAAGGGTACGTCGATGCGTCGGCGCGCGCCGTGCAGAAGGCGCTCGCCTCTCTGCCCGAGGCGGAGCGGCAGACGGCGCAAGTCGTGTACTCGGCGCAGGGGCTGCCGCGCAAGTACGTCGAGTTCCTGGGCGACCCGTACCTCGGCCAGGCGGGTGGCCGCTGAATGGTCGGGTAGGGGTCCTCAAGCCTCACCTGGCGAGTATTGACCACCCAGGTGGAGAGCGGCGTAGCGCTGCTGTCGGAGGAGCTGCGCGCGCGCGGCGTCTCCAACCCGCACACGCTCTCGTACCAGGGGCAGGTTGGCGCCCGCCCGCCGTCCCAATCCCGGCGCCTCCACCCACGCATCCATCGATAACTACATGGGCAGGTTGGAGACAGCACGCACGCACGCACGCACGCACGCACGCACGCACGCACGCACGCACGCACACGCACGCACACACACACACGCTCGTTTTGCACACGCGCAGAGCAGGGCTCGCACACTTCCGTAGGTTGGCCCGTCGGCCGTCCCGTGGACAGAGCCCTCCACGGCGGACGTCATCACGCAGCTCGGCGCGGACGGCACGCGCGCGCTCGTCCTCGTCCCAATCTCGTTCGTATTCGAGCACATGGGCACGCTCAACGAGATGGACCGCGAGCTCGCCGCCGTCGCCGAGCAGGCGGGCATCACCTCCTTTGCGCGCGTCGAGACGCTGGGCACCGACCCCGACTTCATCGACGCGCTGGCGAGCGTGGTCCAGGAGGCGCTGCCCGACCTCAACCAGCCATCGATGCAGATCATCAATCAGGGCGAGCCATAGCCGAGATGCCGCCGAGGAATAGCCACGATGCGGATCATCAAAGGGTGGTTGAGACTAGGCGAGCCCGTCGCGCTGAACGTGGTCAACGAGTACGTCTCCCTCTACACCAAGGACCAGCTGCAGCTCGTGCCGCAGGAGCGGCCGTGGGGCTTCACCGAGGAGGCGGAGGTCCTCAACGGGCGGCTGGTGCGCCTCGCCTCCTCGCCGGCGGCTCCGCCGCGCCGCATAGACACACATACACCTGCTTGACTTCGCATACGCACCCCGCCCGCCCCGGCCCGCCCTGTCCCTTCCGCTGCCGCTACCCTCACCGCGCAGCCTTGTCTCGCCCAACGCTGAGCTCACGCCCGCTGCCCCCGCTGCAAGGCGATGACGGCGATCACCATCTCCGTCGCGCTCACGGCGGACCCCACGCTCAAGGCGATCGTCGCCACGTACCGCGCCGCGCAGCAGGCGCTCCCCAGCTAGGACCGCTCTACGTTTGCTCGTTCCTTGTTGTGCTTGTGCACGTGGCGCGAATACGGCTGCACGCAATGGCTAAACTAGGTGTCTAGCGAGCGCTTGTGTGTGACATTTCCAAAAAACTGCGAGACCGCCGCTCCCGCGTGTGGCCAAGTGGCACGGTAAACGGCCGCAGCGGATGCGGAACGGCTGCAAGACAACGAGACACACACATTGCCAAAACGCACACACGCGCCCGCCAAGCGCCATGCAGGACGTGGCCAAGGTGAGCGCTGTCCTGAGCACCATCGCGCTGCGGACATCCAGTGGCACTGTCTCGCAGCTCGCTCAATGCATGGCACGGCCAGACTTCACTACGCTACGGTTTGGCCACAAGTGTCGTATACTGGGCTGGGTTTTTAGGCATTGTGGGGTTGGCACTCCCATCGACCCTCATGACCTCCTGCGGTCTCTGAGATGGACACCAGTGGGTGTGGGACCACAGCCAGGATACACTCGAAGGCTGGGTAAGCAGTAGAGGTCGATACTCGACGCGTCCCACATGGTCTGTGTCGCTGTCGGCACGCTGTCGACAGGACGTCGAGCGACACCGGTGGCAGTGCCACCCAGGAGTGGTCGGGCGGTCTCCCGTCATGAGAGAGCCACCATGTGATCCGTATGATGATTCCTGACAACCGCCTCAGTCAACTTTCGTCACAGTTCCCGCTCTGAGAGGAGCTGCGGGTCAGCTCGACAGCTGGAGCTGTGTCGCCGGCGTGCGGCGGCCTGCCTCCGGAGGTGCCTCTGAGGTGGACATTTTTTTGTCACCGTGAGAGAACGCGTTCGAATTTTCACTCCGGAACTTCAACTTCACACGCGCACCGGCCAGGGCTACAATAGTGCCAGTGAAGCGAAGGCGCGAGTCGGAAGGCCGCGACCGTCAAGTGGTTTCCCAATTTTCCTACAATCGCTGTGAACCCAGCCACGTACCGTTTGCTCTATCCAAGCAGCTCGAGCCCTCTACGGTGAGCTAGAGAACAAGGCGGGCAGCATATGGCCGCCTGCGACGTAGTCCGTGACAGTCCATCTTCGATCGCTATTCGCGTCACTTTTCCTTCCATCTGGGGGCCCTCTAAGACAGCACCGCCATACCAACCAAGCATATCTTGCGCCATGATTGGGGGAGGAAGCGATGGCCGATGCTCGCAGCGCAAAGAAGGGCTGCGTAGCGTAGAGGGCGTGTGTAGTCCTACTCTTTTGGTAAATAAAGAAGGGCTGCCCACAGTACGGTCCAGGGTTGGTTGCAGGGTTGATTTCCGGGGGCCAGCGCAACAGTGGGTTCGAACCCGTGGCGTGGTGCCACTTGCCGGTCTGACCGACAGCCAGCGCGGTCGGGGCAGGAGAAGCAACACTTTTGTTGCAGCTGCGTGCAAGCAAGGAGAGCACGCCGCGCTCCTGGGCTGCCTGGGATGCCACTCTAAGTCCCCCGGCCGCACCCTCCCGCACGACCCCTTCAAGAAGTCGGACTCCACCGCGACCGACCACGAGGAGGTGCGGGCGGCGCTGGCCGACTCTGTCACCCGCACGTTCGACCCGGACGGCATCGTCGGCGGCTTTGTCGCTGGCGTCGGCAACGACCAGGTCGAGGACACCTTCCCCGACTCCAACCCCACCGACACGCCCGCCATCCTCAAGGCCAAGACGGCGGCGCGCAATGCGGCGGAGGCACGGGCGCGCGGCGGGCTGTGGGTCAAGTTCACCTCGTTCGTCACCGCGCTGCCTCGCCCGTACATCGGCGCTTCCATCCTACTCGTCCTGCTCGCGTGCCTCATCCCGGTCTACATGGGCTCGCCTGCCTCGATCGGCACGCCTGTGGCCGACGCCGTGGACGAGCCCTCGAACATGGGCGTGATGGTCGAGTCCGTCACCGCACTACCCCTCGAGCTGTCCACCGGGCCGGCGACTGGCTCAGGTGGCGGAGCAGAGTACGCCATCGAGGAGGACCCGCTCCAGCCGATCTACCGCAAGGTCGCGGGCGACATGTTCCGCGCGGTGAATGACATCGACGTGCCCAAGACGGTCCCGCTCGTCCTCTCGTACACGTGCATCATGCTCGCCATGTACGTGGCGCGCATGGACGCGATGCAGGCACACGCGCTTGTCGGGCATGTTGTGAAGGTCTTCAGTGACCACTCACAAGCTGTTCCAAGGCCCGACAGAAATGTACTGTCAAAACTTTGTTCAAACAAAAGTCCTGGCCCGCGGCCCCCACACCCACAATGACTATCAATCCAGGCTGCGGGTGAAGGGCAAAACCGCGCCGCTGCAGAACGGTTTTTGCAAAACCGCGCCGCAGCGGTACGAAACTGCGCAGATGCAGTCCAGGGGTGGTAAGGACACTATGTGTGTGTGTGTGGCCGTAGACTAGACGGCTGCGCGGTCGTCGGTCTTCAACAGCCCCCCATCCTCGCATCGGGTAGCGAGGCTGAGGATCTGAAGAAGCTAGACGACTCCTACATCTCCTACTATCGCGCGCACAATTGCGCAGCCTCCTCAAGGGTGGAGGACGAACATACAGGTGACTCGGGGAGCTCGAGGAGCGCCCATACTGCCGGTTGTCGACTACATTTGATGAAGGGGAAGTCGGCGTTTCCCCTCTGTGCCGTCCTAGGCGGTGTCGTTCATGATCTCCTTGCGGAACGACTCGAACTCCTTGCGCGGGAGCGGCTTGGTGAAGAAGTCGGCGAAGTTCTTGAGGCTCTCGACGTACTCGACCTTGACCTCCCCGGACTCGACGAGCTCGCGAATCTTGAGCTCCTTGCGCAGGATGTGCTTCGTCTTGTCGTGCATGACCGGGTCCTCGGCGACGCGCAGCGCGGCCGTGTTGTCGATCTTGATGATGGTCGGGCCCTTGGGCTTGTAGCCGAGCGACGCGAGGAGCGAGCGCAGGTGGACCGCCTCGCAAGCCGCCAGCGTGCCGGCAGAGATCTCGGCCTCGAACGTCGAGAGGGAGATGTGACCCTGCTTCTTGGAGAAGTACGAGATGATCGCGGTGCCGATCTTGAAGGCGCAGCCGGAGGTGCTCTGGCGGGTGCACCAGTTCGCGTCGGAGCAGCCGAAGAGCTTGGGGTCGGCGACGCGCTCGTAGTGGAGGCCGAGGTCCTGCGTGCCGATGAGGTAGATGAGGCAGCGCTCGGCGGCGGCCTCGATGTTCGCGTCGGGCCAAGCCATGCAGCGCGCCAGCTGCGAGACGGTGTACTGGATGTCGGGGCGCGCGTTGGTGGCGAACATGAGGCTGCCGATGAGGCACTGGCAGCGCTGGAGGAGCTGCGGGTCGGGCGCGGTCTTCTTCTCGGCTGCGCTGATGACGATGGACGGGAGGTCCTTGTCCGCGGGCACCTTGTAGCCCGCGTGCGTGACGCCTGACGGGAAGAAGCGCGCGCGCAGCGTGTCGATGTACTTGCTGGCAGACAGCTTGAAACCGGTCTGCGTCTTGGTGATGTTGAGCCCGAGGAACTCGTGCACCTTTCCCTCGTGGACCTTGAGCGGCTTGCCGACGTGCTTGTTGAAGTGCTCGATGTACTCGTGCGCGAGCGCCCTGCCAGCGGTGGTCCCGGAGTGGAAGATGCCGAAGTCGTCCACGTAGATGACGACGATGAGTTTCGTGCTGTTGCGGGTGAGGACGAAGCAGCTCGGGTCCGCCTCGGACTGAACGAGCCCAGGAAACGCCTTGTTGATGGACTTGACGTGGTTCCACCAAGCGTTACCTGCGGATGGTGCGCCGTAGAGGTTGCCGACCTCGCACACCATGTCCTTCTCCTCGCCGGTGATGGGGTCGATGTAGCAGTACTCGGGCTTGCCCTTGAGCCCCTTCGGCATCTCACAGTACCAGGTCTCGCCCTCCCCGCGCTCCGCCCAGGTGTACGCCATGGGCTGGTCGCACGTGATGAGTTCCATGTCCTCCTGCGCGGCCACGTTGAGCACGGTGCGGGTCGTGCCGTAGCGGACGACGCTCGCGAAGGTCTTGGTGAAGTCGACGCCGGGCCGCATCAGGTTGCCCATGACACAGCCGCGCCACTTGCACCGGCCGTCGGACTTCCGGGAGGCGATCTCCTTCAGCGGGAGGACGCGCACCTTGGCGGGGCGGCGCATGGGCTTGAGCGTGCCGTTCTGGATGAGGCCGAGGAACTCGGTGTCATACGCCTTGTACCACGCGTCGCGCAGCTTGGGGTCGCGGATGTTGGCGATGTCCTTGTAGTGCTTGGGCACGATGTTGTCCGGCATGGGCATGATCTGGCCGTCCACGCTCGACATGTACGCGACGCACTGGTCCGTGGTGTTGCGGTAGACCGACGACGATGGGGATGCGGCCGCCGCAGCCGCCCAGATGCCGAAGGGCGTGGCATTGGCGGCGAGGCGGGCGTTGAGCATGTTGTTGTACTCGCCCGTCGAGACGCCGCCGCGGCTGCGGGTGGTGCGCGGCGCAGGCGCACCCGCTGCGGGCGGGTTGACGTTGCCGTCGTTGGCCGGGTCTGGCATGATCACCACCTCCTCGTCGAGGGTCAGCCCCCCGGCGTGGTTGTCGGTGGTGGGGAGGAAGACGGAGTCGCCGCGGGTCACGTTGTTGTCGAGCGTAGCCTTGTCCGACTCGTCGGGCGTCTCGTCCGCGGTCACAGGCTCCGGCCACGCGCCCTCGATGTCCGTCGGGGTGAGGTCGGAGGTAGGAGCACGGTACTCGATGCCGTTCCAGAGCTCGTTGACGCAGAATGTCGCCTGCGTGGTGGTGCCGATGTGCCCCTTGCGCGGACCCTCGGTGATGACGTACTTCCAGCTGGTTGTCGGTGGTGGGGAGGAAGACGGAGTCGCCGCGGGTCACGTTGTTGTCGAGCGTAGCCTTGTCCGACTCGTCGGGCGTCTCGTCCGCGGTCACAGGCTCCGGCCACGCGCCCTCGATGTCCGTCGGGGTGAGGTCGGAGGTAGGAGCACGGTACTCGATGCCGTTCCAGAGCTCGTTGACGCAGAATGTCGCCTGCGTGGTGGTGCCGATGTGCCCCTTGCGCGGACCCTCGGTGATGACGTACTTCCAGCCGGGCGAAGTGCGCGAGATGCCGAGGAAGGCCGCCATCTCGCCCGTGGGTGAGACACCGTTCGCCACAAG